AACACATAATTATATTCGGATAGCAAATTTATTATTTGAAATAAATGTGCAATATAATTTGAAGAGCGGACAGATAGTTTCAACGGTAACTGACAATGGAACGAACTTTGTCAAAGCCTTTAAAGAATTCGGTTATAAGATAAAAATACCTGTGTTAGAAAAAGAAATACCTACTGCGGTAGAAGAAGCTAAAGAAGAAATAGATTCCGAATGTTCGTATGCATGATAATTGATAACTACATATTTTTGGTCATTGACAGTCATAGTACATTTGAATATCTATATCTATAAATACATTCTTTTTCAGATTGTAATGACGAACAAGAAGATTTAGATGAATATGTCGATGAAGTAGATATAGATTTGGAATTTCGTAATATCGAGCAAAAGGATACCAATGTTCATTCCACTATTCAACTACCAAACCATCTAAGATGTGCAAGCCATACTTTAAGCTTGCTGGCAACTACGGACTTTACAAAAGCGTTGAAACAAAATTCTGTCGCGTCCAAAATTCATCATACAGCAATGGGGAAATGCACGATATTGTGGAATATGTCTCGAAGACCAAAAACATCAGAGATAATTGTTGATTTCTTAGGAAAAAGTTTGAAGTATCCAACCCCTACACGCTGGAATTCGTTATTCGATGCGCTGTCCGATCTTTTAGTACATCGAGAGAAGCTTAATAAGTTAATACCGAAATTAGATTCAAATGTTCATTTTAAAGATGTAGAGTTTAATTATTTAGAAGAATGCATCGCCGTATTATCTCCCATTGCGTTGGCATTAGACCGATTGCAGAGCGAAAATGAATGCTACTATGGCATTTTAATGCCAACTCTTTTTTCTCTTAAACTGAGAATGAGAATGCTACATGAAAAAAATTTAAGATTTTTAGATAGCGTCGTATCAATTCTCATCTCTTCACTCGAGAGGAGATTTGAAGACTTTTTCCATTTTTCGCCAACAGTAAACAATGCTATCATTGCTTCGTGTTTACATCCGTCATTTAAACTAAAGTGGCTTCCAAAGACCATGTCCAGCGAGGAAGTGTCACGATTTCGAAACTTGTGTAACGCGGCTATAGACGAGCTTGTGCCTCTTGAAACCACAATTATCTCTAATTCCAGTGAAGATGAATTCTTCATCTTCAATGAATCTAATAGTCTGCAGCAATCGAATTCAGATTCAGAATTGGTATCTTTTTTTAATGATAAACAGAAAACGCTGGATACATTGAATAAATACCCACGTGTAAAAAAGGCGTTTATAAAATTTAATACTAGTCTGTGTTCTTCTGCTCCTGTAGAGAGACTGTTTTCTTTTGCGGGATTTATACATTCGCCTACTCGTGGCCTTCTATCTGATAAACTGTTTGAAACATTGGTATTTTTGAAAGGCAATAAGACTTATCAAAATAATAATAAATAAATGAAGTATAACTCTGTATATGGTATACATTACTTAATAAAATTAATATTACTTAATAAAATCTACTATCTATTATTTAAAAAATGAACGCAAAAAAGAATAATTGTATCTTGAAGTATTTATAAATGTATTTAAATACAGATACTATTTAAATATG